ATTTAATTTAAAATAATTACCAGCACTGCATAAAAGAAGTAAAATGTATTTAAAATATCAAATGGTTTTACTTAATTATATTAATTACATCAGATTTGTAAGTAAAAATTACTCAATATAATTTAACAGGTCAAGTTATATGTACTTTTTCACTTTGTTAATTTTACTCGGCTTACTTAAGTAGATTTACTTAATTTCCATAAATGTGAAATTTACTTGAAAAATATCAGTGCAAAAACTTGCCTTATTAAAATTGAGTAAATTCTACTTATTGTTTTTCTCAGTGTGGCTGGGGGACAGCGAGCTCTTTGCCCAATTTGACTGTGAGACCAAGATTCTCGAGGTGTTCGAGTAATATGGTCCTGTGTTCTATGAGCTCTGAATGAGATCGAGCTAGAATCAGCCAATCGTCCAAATAGTTCAAAACTCACATGCCCTGAAGTTTCAGGGGCGCGAGAGCAGAGTCCATGCACGTCGTAAATATACGGGATGCCAGGGACATGCCGAACGGTAGGACTGTGTATTGACACGCCTGGCCCTCGAAGGCGAATCTCAAAAATCACCTGTGACGTGACGCTATTTGTATCTGAAAATAAGCATCCTCCAGATCTATCGACATAAACCAGTCCCCTTGGCAAATGTGTGCGAGGATTTTGCTGGTTGTGAGCATTCTGAACTGGCGTTTCATAAGCGCTCTGTTCAGATGTCTTAGATCTAAAAAGGGTCTGAGACCCCCGTCTTTCTTCGGTACCAGGAAATATCTGCTGTACAGACCCCCTTCGCTCTGAGCTTGAGATACGGGCTCTAATGCCCCTTTGCTCAATAGTGTCGCTATTTCGGCTCGAAGTAGATGTGCTACTTCTGTTTTCACCGTGGATTCGACGCGCGCCGTGTACCGGCGGGGGCGTCGAGCGAACTGTAGCGAATAGCCTCTTTTATAGTGTTCAGCACCCATTCTGTTACCCCGGGAAGCTGTGCCCACGCTCTCGCGTGAATAGCTAGGGGTAGAATGAGATCTGGGCTCTGGCCGTGACATTAGGCTTGTTTGAGATGCGCCTTGCCTCGCCTGAAATGTAGTCGAGAGTAGGCGGCTGCAGTGAGAGGAGGAGTGAAAAAAGCGCAGGCAAGCCGGACAGATCGCTCTTCTCGCAGTGGATCTGACACCTGTGAGATCAAAGGCGGATATCGCGGGATTCACGGGATTCACACTCGTGCACGGTGTTGCTAATAAACTGGATGTATTTTAAGTTTTGTTGCTTGAATATGAAAATAAATATAATGAACAAGACACTCAAAGTACTTATTTAATTCCATTTTAAATAGGTCTATATGTTTATGAATCATTTTTTTTCTTTACAGATATGTGTTTTTATTTTTAATAAAAAAAAAAAAATTACATCAAATAGATCGCACTGTCTGAGAGTTTGGGGATATCCACACATAATCTATACACATAAAACATGATATCAGAGTTTTAAAATCAAACATTTTAAAAGAGAACAATACATCACGGTTGTTTAAACCAATGAGCATTAAGCTGTGTCGTCAGCAAGTCGTTTCCCATCATGCTTTTGATCAGCGCAGTCGGTGGAGAGCAACTGCGCGCGACTGCAGAATCCGACACGTGCGCCTTGCGGTCGCGAGACTTTTTTGACTCACGTCAGCATGACATCAGAGCAAGGCGGACCGCACTCGGACACATTTCTAACCGGCATGCATCTCGCGCTGATCACCGGTGATCGGTTCTGCGCAGATTTTGCTCATCTCAAACAAGCCTATAGTGACGGCAAGGGAGCTCCGGCGTGCTGTAACGCAGACACTGTGTTTACAGTGTGTGAGGCGGGGGCGCGCCGATCGCGGCGGGCAGCCTGGCCGCGCTCAAAAACCCTTATAGCAGTTTGCTGAGGGAGAGAGAGAGAGCGGGGCGAGCCCCGTGGGGCTTAACATGTCTGTGAGTGAATGTGGGCGCAGGACAGCGGGCACATTTACTGCACTGAAAACAACGTCGGCCTGAGCTGACTGAATGTGTGTTGGTTTCGTTTTTACAGAAACCGTGGGACATGTGGTGTGTAGTGTTTGTGGGCACTGAGACGTGGGCACATTCACTACATTTAGTGCACAATCGACATAAGGCGATTTTGTTTGTGCGAGCCCTGCATTTTTGCGGGCTGTGTTTGTGTAGAAATGAGCACTGGGTTGTGGGCATTTTTATTACACTCATAACACCATCGGCTGTGGCCGGAATACCAGAAAATACACTGCTTATGTGATTGATCTGGGTCACCGTGGAAACGGCATTTGTGTGCAGGCAAGCGGGCCGTGGTACTGGCTCGCTTACTGCAAAATACACTGGAACAGTCGCATTTTCTGGAACTGAACGAGCAAAAAGTTTCGGTGGAAGTCTGGCCGCGGCGAGACTAAATTATTATCTGCTGCGAGAGCCAGGATCGAACACGGGTCTCTCGCGCGAGGGCTTTGAGTTCCGCCACTGACGCATGCCCACGGGAGGCGGGGTAGCTTTCTTATAACGTAAAGAAAGCTAGGTGCGGTTTAAGAAGCGTCGTCACAGTTTTGTGTGTGTCGGCGTTTATTTGCAGGCGTGCGTGTTATACAACAAGCTCGTTGCTGCAATATTGACATTTTCAGCCGCTCAAACTAAGAGGAGCTGAGAAATGTTTGAGAAATTGAGATTGGTCCAGCCTCGGTGGGACTAAAACACACTCTTTTCTCATTTTGCCGGTGACGCACGCCCATGGGGGGGCGGGGTAGCTTTCTTATAACGTAAACTTTACGGAAGTGCACAGTCACATTTGGCCCTCTGATAGTGACAATAAAATATTTGTGGCCCTCACTATTATCAAAGTTGCCCATCCTTGTCGTAAAGAAAGCTAGCCGCAGTCTTGGTGCTGGCCCGTTTCCCTGACAACTCGCGGACAGAAGGGGGGAGGTCCACAGAGCTCGCCCAATCCTCACTGTCCGACGCCAAGATAGAGCAGCTGGCCTTCTCTACAGATGCAGCTATTTCGTCACGGGCTGGAGAAGGCTTGGGGACCCGCTGAGTACGGCGCCTTTACGGCGCGGCACTGTAGCGGGTGGAAGTGCAGTCTCGCTGAAGGATGCCAGGCGAGTCCTCAGAGTCACCATAGGCAATAGCTCGCAGTGAGGGCAGCCGCCGTCGGCGAGCGCGAGAGCTGCATGATCCTCTCCCAGGCAGGAAACGCATATCACACTGCGGTCCCCGTCGCTGAGTGGGGCTCGCACGAGCCACAGGAGGATGGCATCTTTAAAAAAACGTGGCTCTTTTAGATAGACGTGTGAGTCGCGGGGCGAACACACACACACACACACACACACACACAGAGCAGAGTAAAGGATAGTACGCCGGATGGCGTAGCAGGAACGGCGGCTGAAGGCGGCGAGGTGAAGGCCAGCTACTTCAGTGCAGAGGCTCGTCCCGCAGAAAGCTGTTTCGACGGCGCGGCTTCTCACTCTGGATCCAACGATGCGTGAGCTTCGCTGAAGAGATGAAAATCAGAGTATATCAGCCCATCAAGCCGTATTTATAAGGCTAGGCTACGCCCGCTTCGGCGGGAGCGTGACGCAATGGGCGCGAAGCGCCCTCATTGGACTCTCACTGAATGGCCTCTCTCGATAGGCTGCTGCAATTGCCACAGGCCGGCCAATAGGCACGCTAAGCCACCTTGCCTATGTCTGCTTGCTGTTGCAATGCGTTTTGCATTAATACAAAATTAAGGATAATTTTTTGGCTTCAATATCTCGAGGAAAAGAGGTTTTCCCCTAGCGTAAGATATTACGCAGTACGAGAGAACCTCTCTAGAGAGAACTACCTAATATTGACTGAAGTCATTGTAAGCTTTTGAGGTTTTTGTAAGTTTTTGGATAGTAAAAATAGTAGTTACTGATTAGCTAATAGTGAACTACCACATTCAACTGAGGGCTATTACTTACTAATTTGTTAATCAGAGTTTCTTGTTAGTTAATAGTAGTTACTAGAATGTTAATAGTGCGTTACTCATTTGTTCCTGTGTAGTTATTAATTAATGAAGGAACCGTATTCTAAAGTGTTACCAAATATTGTTATCTAGAGCCAAACTCTCTTCATTTAAATGGTAAATGGACTGCATTTATATAGCGCTTTCACAGACCCAATGGCCACCAAAGCGCTTTACATTTGCCTCACATTCACCCATTCACACACTCATTCATACACCGACGGGCGACGGCAGCCATGCAAGGCGCCATCCAGCTCGTCGGGAGCAGCCGGGGTTAGGTGTCTTGCTCAAGGACACCTCGACACTTGGTCAGGTGGAACCGAGGATTGAACCACCAACCTTCCGGTTTGTAGACAACCCACATGAACCACTGAGCCACTGCCGCCCCGCCACTCTGTGCCCTTTCCGCTCTGTGTGCGTTGCTTCTCTCCTGCTAAAGACGTAAAGTGCGACATAAAGAGCCGCAGATGACGTGGTTATTTTAACAACAGTAGCAGATACACAATGAGCAGAAAAAAATAGATACATTTGCTAAAACCCTGCAGAAAACAAGAATGCAGCAAATACAATTATTTTGATCTGTCATTAAGATGACTCCGACCGGTTAACTAAGTTAACGTATGTAACTACCCCTGTCACAATTATGTTCTGTCTTGTCTGCACCTGTTCTCGTTAGTCCCTGATTAGTTTACCTTTCTCCACCTGTGTCTAGTTAGTTTCCTCATTTCCTCCTGTGATTTATACTCCCTGTTCTGTTCAGTCCCTTGTCGGTTCTCGTTTATGTTGAACGTGGATGTGTCTATTCCTGCCTGAGTTAGTCTTACTTTGCATCAAGTGTGTGTGTGTACCTTCTGCCCGTGTTCTCTGTACCTGTGCGAGTTACTATAGTAAAAGTTTGTATTGGAGCTTTTGGCCTCTTCATATTCCTCAGCCTACACCACACCGTGACAACCCCAACATTGATCATGATACACTCTTGAATTTCAGGGGTTCGTGTTGATGCAAAGACAGACAAGGAGACCCTGTATAACCTGGAGAGTCTGATTAACCAGGCTGTTTCCCCTGCACTGCAATGTGCCCCTCACAACCATGCCATTGCAGGTAAGAGCTGACGTCCTCCTCCATGTCTTTTATATGGTTTGAGAAGTTTGCATTTACACTAGGAATGTTTATGATTAATCGAACATCTATTTATTGACATTGATTAGCTTGCCTAAATTTAATTTAGTTCAGTAACCATCCAATCAGATGTGGAAAACTCTATACATGCAGTCATCTGATGCTAGAGTGCACAAGTCTCATCCTCTCCTTACGTACCTATAACAAATCCTTCCCTCATGGATCAAAATGACCTGAAGCTCTAAAATTATACTTTTTTTTCAGAAAGCATATATCATTTCATTTTTATAATTTTTTTAATGCAGTTTTTTACAGATTTGTTTTTTTTATTTTTTACTGTATTTACCTCCAAATTAATAGATTTTATCAATAATTTTAATACAAATAAGCAAATTCTTCACATTCTTTCACTTAAATACAAAATAACTCTCCATTACATGCAAAAACTTGTTAAAACAGCTCAAAAACTATCACATTGTGTGTCTCTGCTGACCTCCTGTGGAAAAGAAAATCTAATATGATATTTCATGACTCTTGCCACTAGGTGGCCTTATAGCATATAGATGGCCTTTATGTAGCAAATGAACTGTCCCGTGGGTCCTAAAGTCATTTTTTCTTTATTTTTTTTCATCAGTATGCATTCAGGTATATATTTAGACATTATAAAATAATTTTTGGTAATGTTAGGGGATTTACAGTTAAAGACCCAAGGACCAGATATGATTAATTAAGACCCGGAGACAGAAGTTCAGTCAATAAGACAAGAGTCAGAATTATAATAAATTAAAGAAAAGTTTTACTGAAGATAGTTGCAGTTTCATCAGGCAGAAGTCAGCTTCAAAACTCACAAGGAGTTCGTAGGCCGCCCCATACAGTAATAGAGATCACAGAAGGTCTAAGCTACATCCTTGCTTCAGGTTGCAGTTTCTGATTGGCTAAGAAATAGATAAACACACATTTTCCACACATAAACAGATAGACTGAAGCATATCTCCATCGATTAGGCGGCTGACATTCGGACCCTAAATTTAGGCACATCCTTCCAGGTCGCAGATCTCGGTTGCTGGGCGCCAACATGTCCAGAACAACAAGTCAGTCAATCTCCAATAATGCAGTTGTTTCTTAACCTGTAACCAAGAAGACTAACACACACACAGCTTCTTCAAGGTTAGATTTGGCCAGGCTCTAACTATAAACAGGAGAGCCTTCTCAAAACATCAAGATAATACGTTCTTTCTCTCAAGGAGAGGACACTTTTAATCTAACTGGAAAGTAAGGCTTTAACAAAGAAATGGTCCCTTAAACTATAGACTTCAATGACCCCTGTGACTTTTACTCATCAGGGTACCCTAGAAAAACAGATGTATGTATTGACACGTTGAAGACCTTTCTCAAACACAAAACGAGTCCATATTTCATTTCTGAAAGCCGGGCTAAATGCACTGTTATTGCATTCCTGGCATTTGAGCCAGACCATCAGTCAACTCTTAGATATTTCATACAGACTTTTCTTATAGAAGTGTGATTATCAAAAATGTTCTTTTCATGTATTCTTTCAAAGTAAAATTTCATAAGACTAGAGAAGTCATTCAACTCATTTGATATTTAGAAGGAAAAATATTGATTAATACCATGATTATAATAACTCATTACATATACATTGAAGCAGCAGTGGATTCCAGAATCCACCCCTTCAGGAAAGTTTTAGCATTTTTAGTTTTAACTGAGCATATTTTTTTTAGGTTTATTTATACTGAAGTGTCAGGTTTTGTAAAAATTCAAATTAGTTTTTTTGTTGTTTTTTTTGGGTCAAAATTTAAACAAGAAATCCCCATTTCCAATTAATTCCTATGGGGGTCAAATTGACCCGCGAGGGAAGGATTTGTTACTATTTTTTTTATTACAACCACTCCTCGAATCCAGTCAAATTTTTCTGTGTGTATTCTAAGTTCAAGTGCGACAAATCTCCCAAGGTCTTGGACCACTTCGATGAACACTCAGTTCTTAAAAATGTAAAGAAAATGAATTTCAAAATGACCCGAGGATGAGTTATCTATATGTAAACATTACATTCACTGCAAAGGCCCTATCGAATTCCAAAGCTGCCGAAATAATTAATAAATAATACATACATGCCTTTGCAAGTCACATTGGGAATGAATGACTGAGAGATGGGCAATATGGCCAAAATCTTAGTGTTGTGGCTTATTTCCAAGTGAAACGGAATCTTGAACAGAGGGCAGATTTTAGTTTAGTGCACCTCCGCCCCATCCCTCGCTCATTGCAGACTGACAGTTGGAGGGGAGTGGTTAAGCCCAAAGCCGTCAAACCATAGACTGTAAAAACTGACGTCATCAGAGAAAGAACGCCATTCCAGAGCAGAAGCACATTTTCAGATTTTGATTAACAGATTTTGATTTCTGTGTATTAACTTCAATAGATTAATTGTTCACCACAAGACTAGTAATGTGTGCTAACAAAGTACATAAGGTCAATTTTGATTCATGACGACTTTAATATTCTTTGGCTTTGGTCAAATTAAAAAGTAAATATTTATTAATTATATATTAAATTGTTTATTGATTCCGATAATTACATTTTATAATAATTGATTAATAATATTTCTAAAAATTGGCATTCTTAATCTGATTTCAGATTTGTGTTATTTGTTTGTTTTGTGTGATGCGCAGGGGTTGCTGTTGCTTTGAAGCAGGCTCTGACTCCAGAGTTCAAGAACTACCAATTGCAAGTTCTGGCAAATTGCAGGGCTTTAGCAGCCACCCTAATGGAAAAGGGCTACAAAGTTGTTACAGGTAAGTTTCTTTAGGATTTAGATATAAATTATAGCTAAATGAAACCATTGGCTGATTGAACATCAATTGGCAACTGTGTTCCCTTTATCTTTCATTTTATATTTAGGCGGCTCAGATAATCATCTCATCTTGGTTGATTTACGTTCAAATGGAACTGATGGAGGAAGAGCAGAGAAAGTGCTGGAGGCTTGTGCCATTTCCTGCAACAAGCACACCTGCCCAGGTGCCTTAAAAATGCTCCATTTATAATACTTTGGTAACACGTTACAATAAGGTTTATTAGTTAACTACCTTAGTTAACGTGAACTAAGAACAATACTTCTAAAGCATTTATTAATCTTAGTTAATATTAATTTCAACATTTACTAATAAATTATTAAATACAGCTGTAATAGAACAGCTGTATTTTTATTAACTAACATTATAGATTAATAAATATTTTAACAAATGTATTGCTCATAGTTGGTTCATGTTAGTTAATACATTAACTAATGTTGACTAATGAACCTTATTGTAAACTGTTACCAATACTTGTAATACTTTAATACTACTTTTACAGTGATTGCGATATTCTTGTAGTTTTACTAGAACAATCTAATCAGTTTTTTATCCCTCTCCCAAACTCCATTTTGAAGGTGATAAAAGTGCCTTGTGCCCAAGCGGCCTTCGTTTAGGATCTCCCGCTCTTACATCTCGTGGATTATTGGAGGACGATTTCCGTAAAGTTGCTGAGTTCATTCACCAGGGTGAGTTATTTTAAGCAATAATATAATATTATAGGATATGGTACAAACTTTTAACCTACCTCAGACATTGATTGTTTATCTGCTCTTAGGCATTGAGTTGACATTGGAGATCCAAAGAAACATGAATCCTAAAGCAACTCTGAAGGAGTATAAAGAGGAACTGGCACAAAATGAGAAGTACCAATTGAAAATAAATGAAATCCGAAAGGAAGTCGAAGACTTTTCTGGAAAGTTCCCAATGCCTGGGTTGCCGGAGTTATAATTACTGTCTTTCTGACATTTTGGTCTTCCCGAAATAAAGATTTCTTTTGATTTGATGGGCAAAGGCTTGAATAACATGGTTTCTGTACTTTTGCTTGCGTTTTCTCTTATTTTCTGTGAATTAACCTGCGTAATCTATGAAAAGTTTCCAGTAAAACCGATCAACAGAGAAAAAAATATTCAACTGGCACAATAGATTTGTACATGCAATGCAAATAAAGCCTATTGTAAAGCTTGTGAACATGTGACTGGACCTCTGTCTTGTTAATTAAGTATAAAATTGACTTTTTACTGTTACTATTTACCCTAATAAGTTTACATGTGTAAGTAATTACAAATTCAGAATGAGACAAATCATGTGCCTTTAATTACATCATAAAGGAAAGAATAGTTTTGCTAAATACACAAACTGTTACAAGATAGGTATAATACCATTTGATAAAGATGTGATGCACATGGCTAAATCAGAAATAATTTAATGACATTGAAGGCAGAGTAATTCACAGTGGGCAGCAACTTAAAGCACACAGATGACCCTCAATTTACTTGACATCCATAAATATTTTAGCATGAAGATTACACCTTACCCCAGACAAGCTCACAATACTGTCTTAAAATAGATTTGTAAAAAGTAGCAACAAAACTGCATGATTTAGACCGTTACAGCAAACAAGATTTGTTCAAAATCAGCAAAAGAAATAACCTTCTTAGAAGATAATGTGCGTATAATGGTATGGCTTATTCTCAATTTACATTCAAAAGACTGCAATTAAATGCTGAAAATCGTTACAAAGGCCAATAATTACTGGGTAGCCAAAATAACTTAATATTAAGACACACTTGTGATGAAACAGCGGTGGCAGTTAAGGTCTGTATTTCTGGACTACAACTGCATTCATGCAGTAGTGGAAATAACAGTTACAGACAACGTATTGGCGACAACCACCATTATCGTTCATTTCACAACACTACAACAGACATTAGAATGAAGAGCCACTTCATCCTCACAGTTACTCATGCTGACGTTGCTTGCACACAACTTAGACAACAATTTATATCCATTTTAAATATATCTAGAAAGGCTGAAGAGTAACACGTGAGATACAATGGAAGTGTTCATAAATGCCCCCATATTTTGCCATGTTACATTTTTGTGTTCTTTAAACATGCAGAAGATTGTGTAACAGTTCTCCACAATGTGACATTTTACATGCAGTACATTCATTCACCTTATCACACAATTATGTTAAAACACAAAGGGCAGTTGGCTCAATTTTTGTTTGTTTAACAATGTCTGTAACCTTTGTTCATCTTTGTATAAAAAAAAAAATCCCCTCAGATTTTATGTCCACTAGAGAGGGCAGTACAAAAGGGAGCAAATTTGCACGTCTTTCTTATATTAATAATCAATTAGCACATTACATTTCTCACGCTCAGAATGCAAGAATCAAAAAGCTAATAAAAGGACCAATCCATGAATTGACATCAAATTTTTCTTCTAATTTAAATGCATATAATGCTATGCTAGTGGATTTTATAGAGGCTGTTGGCCAATGGTAAACAGCAGCAGCATACTGAGAAGAACATGTATTGTAAAATACTCTTCTGATGCCACTTAAGTTAGTTCCATTAAAATTATGCTTGTGATTTTCATGCTTGCAACAGTCTCATTACGTATGAAGGCAAATAGCATTAATGATTAAACAGGCTTCCAGGACCAGATTGATTAAATTGTGATTAGAGACTCTCCTGCTGTTGTTCCTGTGTAGCTATAGCTGTTAATGAAAACAAGCCTTTAACTACACATTTAAATGAGCTGTTTCATTCGGCCTCTTTCAAAACATGTCTACTTTTGCTTGGACGACGTTGTAATCTTGCTGAATCTTGATTTTATTACAAAGCTTCTGTAAAGGTCTTCAGACCACATGAGGAACCTATTTTCTCCATTTTACGGAAAACGGTTTGGCAATAGATTTAAATATGCAACCTTTACACTAAACAAATAGACCACATTCTGTAACACTGGATTGCTTCCTGGAATGCCACGAGAATATTCACACACACACACACACACACACACAAAAGTGATTACATTCAAATAATACATTTGGTCTCCTGATCTTAACTGGGTTTAATGGTGAACAGATAATAGACACATTCAGATTTTGTACAAATAGCTGGTGGTGTAATCAAAACAAAAAGACTGCTTGACCCACTTCGAGGACCCCTGAACATAATGTTGCTTGATGAGCTCACTCAGGTACTGTACGATTTTACTCTCCTCAACAGTGTAGCCGAGCTGCAACAAGAAATTAGTCCTGCGTGACTTTACCGAGCCCTGGTCGTTGATGTCCATGGGAAGATGAATGTGATGGCAGAATGTGTAAAGGAAGGCCTTGGCTGTAAGCTGAGTCAACATACCCTGAACATGGAGGAAGTAGGTGCTGCCACGCTTGATCTGAGTCCTGTGGTCCGCCAAATGGCTAATTAGTGTTCCTCTATATGGTGGACACCGGAGGGTCTTGTTGTCACAATCCAAAATGCTTATGTAACGGCTGTATCGATTCAAAGAGTGGAGGATGCTGGATCCAGCCGGGGAGGCAGCTCTGGAAAAAAAAGAAAGAAAGAAATGTCAAAACTCTGTACACTGCACTTTTGGTCACTGATTTAAAGCATTACAACTACAAGCAAAAAATATATATTTATGATACGGAGTTATTGATTGACTACGGGTCAAATTTCCTCAACATACCTCTGCAATCCAATAAGTTTCCACCTCTGCAAGTCGGTAAGCTGAAATGGCGTCGAAAGCCACGGTTGGACGGTTTCACCATACTTGCCGAGATTGGGCACGAAAACAAACAAAGCATTGACCAGCTTCCTCACCATGCCCTCGTCCACCCCCAAAATAACAAGCGTTCGGCCACTCAGAAGGCAGAAAATGGCTTGCTGAGCAAATGGATATTGCCTGATGAATCGAAGCGCGCTGTGACCAGCTTTCTTCTTCTGCTTTAGTGTCAACGCACTGCCGTAAGTGAATGGAGACACTGCTCGATCAGAACTGGTGGAGGCGCTCATGTAGCTCGTACTATCAGATGCATCTTCGATATAAATTTTTGCCACATCCTCTGAGAGAACGCAAGTGTTTAGTTCGGAAAAAGTCAGTCCCATGTTGGGGCTCTCTGCGAGGGCTGACTCTTCCAGAATGTAGTTTACCTGTAAGGCAGTATCTCCCTGAAAAAGAGACAGGGGTTCTTGGTTCACCACAGTGTCGCCACAACACTCCTGAGCGAGCTCAGGTAAAGGTTCCTCAAAAACAAAACTGTCCTGTCCAATACAGCAGGATGCATCCATCGGGACTAGATTCCCGTCGGATGACCTACGCGGGACAGCAACAGAATGGGACGCATTTTCAAATGAGGATGCAATGGATACCTTGCAATTTCTTTCAAGGCCATCAAAGTAATTTGCCTGTAGACTGGAAGGACTAACACCTCCAAGAGCCTCAATGCTCTTGTCGCTACTGAAACTCCCTTTGGTCTCAGTGTCGGCGGCTTCAGAGGTTTCCTGTGTGATGTCAGATGTACTGGATTCAGGAGGCCCTTCCATAGACTCCACACCTGGCTTAATGTGATCTACATCTATGCAGGTGGTGTAGGATTCGAGACTCAGCGGCTCACCAGATAAGTGCAGAATGGGGACTGTTGGGATGTTGGAAGTGAAATTGAAGTTCTTTGAGGTTCCTTCGTCCTCCCAGTCACATTCAGCTTCGAAGAGAAAACTAGTAACTCTCTGTTTGCTCAGAAGAGCCCTGTCGATCTGGCTGGTGTAAATAGAGCACAGATCTCCTCGGAACGACTTCTCGATTACATTTAGTTGCTCTAAAGTTTGGTGATAAAAGTTGGAATCGCAGAGCTCTTCCAACGTTTTCAAGCGTTTATCAAAGCACTTCGCAGATTTGGCCTTGATGAGCTGAGGTGTGTAGGATGACTTTCTACCATCGCTTTCAGATTCTACAGTCTTCTCTGCAACTTCAGAATGATTACTATTTAGTGTATCATCTGATACACTTGTGTCAGCCTGTTTTTCTGTCTCGCATTCTACAAAATCCATATCTCTCTTTTTCCTGGAAGGATAAGATGTGATTTGCCTCAGTAGATCTTTGTGTTCATAGATAGACTTCTCCATATTTGCTAATTCATTCGCCTTCTCAATAGCTTGTGTGGAATAACAGCCATTGTTCATTTTCTGCAGCTCTGCCTCTTTGTGCAGCACCGATCTGGTGTACTCCAAGTCTTTCAGTTTCTTTTCCAGTTCATTTGCAAAAGCTTTCCTGTTTCCTGATTTGACTATTTCTGAAGCCTTGGAAAACTCAGATGACAGCTCTTGGAACTGCTGCATTATCTTCCTTTCGTCTGCGGAAATGTAGGCCATGCAAAAGGGCCGTACGAATCCACGAGCCTCCAAGTCATACAGTGTCAGATGATGGACGTAGGCAAAAGCCCCTTCCTTGGAATCACCTAGGACAACTTTTGAGTCCTCCACAAAATTTAGCTTTGGGTAGTTACTGCCTGGAGGATGTCCGGCAAAAGATGCCTGGTAGTCCACAGACATGATGCGTAGTGAGAAGTAGTTAAGGTCAAATGTCCCGCACACTTTGGGGTCATTGGGAATGGTGAGTAAAGGCTGTGGACCAACCTGTTCTGAAAATTCAGAGATGAGTATGAAATCTTTTGAGAATTTCGCATAGGATGTCTTCGTCCATGGATTTGCATTGGCAGTATGAGTAAACAAAGGCACAGAAAACTCCTCTGGAAGTGACAATGGATCCGAGAATGACTCCCCAAAGTCATCTTCTTTGGTAAAAGCCACCACATCTGGTGAGCCAATCATGTTCTCTGAGTATATAAAGATACATCAGCAGAAATATCCTTCAATGCTCAGTATCTCCATCAATGAAGACATAATATTTAACAAAGACATCGTTTTGAAAACACAAATCATAAATATGTTGTGCACTGAGGACTCTCTCCCTCTCTGCAGCGGGGCTGGTTAGTCCACTGAGCCAGATCACGATCTGCTATGCATGAGCTTGAAGACGATGCTGTCCAGCCTGACAGACCTTTGACGTCACCTGCCATAAATCTGAAACATCTGTCAACGGTCGCCGCTTATATAAACCTATTTATAATCGGCCATCTATATAGTATATCGAAGCGAAAACGTCACTGTTACAGTGCAATCCAGCTGCTCAATAAACTAACATCATCTGAAAGCAGCCATATTTAAACGATCGTAACCTTCCCACGTGACTGTCATGATGAGGAAGTGGATGTGTTTCAAAACCTAGTGAGCTGCCTAGCTAGACAGCATTTTGGAGGTTCCCAGCGACTCGAAAGGCGCTATGCTGCCTAGGTACTAACTAGGTTTTTGACACACAGACGGCATTTGTTATGACGCGCTTTGTGGTTGTTCGAGGAGAGAAATATTGGATTATTCGTGTCGTATGACAAGACTCGTTCTTATATCTCTGGAAATTATTTAATTTAATTTATTTATTTAGTTAGTTAGTTAATAACATTTCGTTGGGGAAATACACAATACAACCATACGGCATTCTAACACATTGCTTTACGGTATTTTTACGACAATTCTCGTCAGGCGCCGGAATTGGAAGTTTTTAGAGTTGATTCATCTGCTGTGTGTTCACACATTATACTTTTACAGATGTATTTTCAAAACTTTAAGTTTACACATATATATATTTTATCTCCGTTATTTTATAATTGTCAGTATTGTACTATGCTAGTTAGCAAGCAAGCTGCTGTTAATGTGCTGTAATGTCGAGTGTGTGTAGCTGCTACTGTGATCATGCGCTGCTAGATCACAGTTATGAACCTTTTGCATAGATCTCTAAGAGTGACAATTCACAGTCAACTTTATAGGCAAATATCTGTAAACATGATAAGACGCACGCAGATTAAGAAAGTGCTTTGTGTTGCCGAGAAAAACGACGCTGCTAAGGGCATAGCAGAAATTATGTCAAATGGGAGATCGAGAAGAGTGAGTGCTGACTGTTGTTCAAGTTATCTTGATCTGTAATGTAAAATCTGATTGTTATCATCAAACGAGTTTTTATACTTTATATGTTTTACTTTTATAAGAGTTTTACTTTTATATGTTAGGATAGTCGTCTTTGTTAATGAACCTGGTTTTCTTTACAGAGAGAAGGCTACTCTGTCTACAACAAAATATATGAGTATGAATACAACCTGTTTGGCCAAGTAAGTACTTTTTTTGGTTTATCACAGAAAAAAAATTTATATTGTAAAACATATAAGTTAGTCTGATCATGGTGTTTATTTCTTCACAGAATGTAACTGTAAACATGACATCAGTATCAGGGCATCTCTTGGGTCTCGAATTCAAAGCTCCTTTTCAGAAATGGTAATATATATATATATATATATATATATATATATATATATATATAGATTTAATATAATAATAACTAACTATAGTTTATTCAAACTTTATTATGTGGTATGTTTCACAGGCATAGTTGTAATCCAGTCCTGTTGTTTGATGCTGAGGTGGAAAAGTACTGCCCTGAAAACTTTATACCGATCAAGGTACTAATTTCCATTCCTTCCATTTAGAATATGAGCTTGTATTTTATATTGCAAAAACAATGTATTTACATTATCTAGAGGACTTTGGAGAAAGAGGTAAGACAGTGTCAAGCTCTGGTCATTTGGACTGATTGTGACCGGGAAGGAGAGAATATCGGCTTTGAGATCATTAATGTCTGCAAAGCAGGTAAGTTTAGTGTATCATGCATGCACTGGTGCTGTATATTTCTTACAACTTTTTAAAGTCGGCATGAAACAGAAGTTGTGATAGTCTTTTCTTCCTTATTGTGACGTACATCCAAATAAGAAAAAATGTAGGGCGGGACTCGTCGGATGGTTGTGGTTTGCTATTGCTGTGATGTCATGTGAGTGACAGGTTGTCCCACCCTCACGCCAGTAAACATATCATCATCTGTGAAGAGATGTATTATTTGATTAAAGATTACAAGGGCACAGGAAGAAAAAAATAAATAATGTTGTACACAGAATCATGGATAAATCATAATAAATACTGCTATATTCCATTAAAAGTAAGAACAACTATTTTGATTTCACAGTGACTTTAACCTCCTGTGATATCTTTCAATTTAGTGAAGCCAAACATTCAGGTCTTCCGTGCACGGTTCTCTGAGATCACCCCAAACTCCATAAGAAGAGCCTGTGAGACCCTCACTGAGCCGAATGTCAACATCAGTGATGCTGTGGATGTGAGACAGGAGCTTGATCTCCGCATCGGTAGGCATTTTAAAATATCAGAGAACATTATCACAAACTACTTTCTTTAAGATGAAATCTAATGTGTTTATCTTATGTACATTATGTTCCTTCAGGGGCATCGTTCACCAGGTTCCAGACATTACGCTTGCAGAAGATATTCCCAGAATCTCTCTCCGATCAGCTCATCAGTTATGGCAGCTGTCAGTTCCCAACCCTTGGCTTTGTAGTAGAGCGTTTTAAAGCAATTCAAGCCTTTGTCCCTGAAACTTTCTTTAAAATCAAAGGTACTCTGATTTTTTTAATTACACAGTTCACATTTAATATTGATGAACGAAATACGTCAAGTGCTTTCTCACATACACTTTATTGTCTGTTAGTTGTCCATGAGCCTAACGAAGAGGAATCAGTAGAATTTAGCTGGAAAAGACATCGTCTTTTCAATCACACAGCGTGCCTTGTGCTGTATCAGATGTGCATGGAGGTCTGTGCTTCTATTTAATTTCTTTAAAAAGGATTTTTAAATGCATAGCAACAATATAGCTTTTTCAATTTTTCTTCATTGAAATGAATAATGCATTACACACGTGTTGGTCATTATTCTGTCATCATAAGTTTCCTCTGCTTGGCTTTTATCTTTTCTGTAGGATCCCATGGCGAAAGTGATATCTGTAACAAGTAAACCAAAAAGCAAATGGCGACCTTTACCCCTTGACACTGTGGTGAGTAATTGAGAACATGTCTCTTGAAAGATTTTTCTGGTAATTCAGACTGGAAATATGGACAAAAGTATGTGGACACACACATGACCATTCAAAAGTTTAACGATAACAGAAATACAGTAAAAACAAATAATGTGAATTGTTTACAATTTAAAATAACTTTTTAAAATTTGAATCTATATTAAAATGTAATTTATTCCTGTGATGTCAAAGCTGAATTTTCAGCATCATTACTCCAGTCTTCTGGAGTAATCTTACTAACTTACTACTAAAAGAATCTTACTAACCCTAAGATTTTGAACGATCGTGTACTTTTTGTTATACAGCTACAGACAAGTTGATGAATATTAACAAATTTGACTTTTACAACAATGTACACAATTGTCATCAGCTACTAAAGTTTTTTTCAAAGTGCAATTTCTTGAGTGACTTTTGCCCCAAATGATCCACAAATGAGTTGCATGAGTTAAGTGCAATTAATAACTGAATCATGGAGATTAAAAAATGTAGCATATATGATAATGTCTACTTATTTTTTTGGTTAGGAACTTGAAAAACTGTGTTCAAGAAAATTGAGGATAAGTGCCAAAGAAACCATGAAAACTGCAGAAAAGCTGTACACTCAAGGGTATGTTGGTTATTTCATCCATCCATCCATATGTCTGTGGTCTACAGCAGAGTTTTCCCCCTACCAGGATGTTTCAATGTCTCCCTATTCAACAACACACTAAAAAGCTGATGAGTTGAATCAGGTGTTTTAATTAGTGAGACATCTAAAACATTCTGGTAGGTGGGTCCCGAGGACTGGGTTTGAGAAACACTGGTCTACAGCATGTCTGTCGTGCCCCTTCACAAATCAACCTGTCTGTTTCCTTCCAGGTTTATCAGTTATCCTCGCACTGAGACCAACATGTTTCCTCAGAACCTGAACCTTACCCTGCTGGTTGAGCAACAGACACAAGATAATGAATGGGGAAATTTTGCTCAGCGCATTTTGGAAAGCGGTGGGCCCACACCTCGAAATGGAAACAAATCAGATCAGGCCCATCCCCCCATTCACCCCACCAAATACACCAACAGTTTACAGGTGAGCAACCTAGGCCCGACGCCAGGAGGTGGCTATTTGTACCCCCTCCACCCCCAAAACCCTTTGACGTGTACGATCACACCGGTGTGATTAGAATGTTTAGTGCGTCACGTCAACAACTGCTAAATTCAAACGTGTTTCGTGTGTTTTGCTGAGCCAGAGATGGACACGCTCAGTGCTTTTCATATCACAACTTTTCAGTGTTTTCAAACATATTATGCTTATTTTTGGTTTCAGACATTTAAATACTCATAAGTAAGGGCAAAAAAATATATATATTTATAGTTTGTTAAATACACACTGATCTCTATGGAAGCCACAATAACAATCCATTTAAATATAATTTGACAAAATGTTTTATTCATATCAGATACACATTGTTTTGCAAACTATTAAGTTTACTCTATTCTTCTCCCAGTTCGCCGGCAACTTTTATGTATTTCAGGAGAAGTGGATACGTGATGTAAATCCGACTGATCCGATTCTCTGAATGGCAGCGCAAACTAACATGGCGGCACCCATCGTGCGTTATATATCAGCTAACATGATCATTATAAAGGTTTTTAAGCAACGAAACATTCACTTTCACCTATTCAACAATCTGAATATATCAGATAGTTCACAATATAGTAGTTAACAAGTTTATGAATATTTTGAAAGGAATAAATGAAATAATACATCTGTCATACAGATACCCCCCTCACCTCGGTACGCGATGCCCTCCCTCAAGAATTATGACTTCCCCCTTTCATGTGTCCTGGCGCCGGCTCTGGTGCAACCTCTCTGTTAGAACCATCATATCTGCAGATGCAATTAGCTAGAAATGTACACAATGGCAATGTTTAATTATTTTTCTTTTTTTGAAGGGTAATGAAAAGCGGCTGTATGAGTTCATTGTACGTCACTTCTTGGCCTGTTGCTCCAAAGATGCTCAGGGTCAAGAGGTGACGGTTGAAATTGAAATAGCCGAAGAGAGATTCTCTGCTAGTGGATTGACGATCATTGCACGCAATTATCTGGAAGTGTACCCTTATGACAAGTGGTACAATAAGGTGATGATTACTACTCAAAGCATAACACATTTTATAGCTGAACATTATAGCTGAACGTTTTTTTTATGCCTTTTTTTTTTTTTTTTTGCACAGGTAATTCCATTATATATGCCTGACACCACGTTCCAGCCCACAGCGATTGAGATGGTGGAAGGACAGACCAGTCCACCACAGCTTCTGACAGAGGCCGATTTGATATCGCTCATGGAGAAGCATGGCATTGGTACTGAAACATATCGGTCAAGTACCTTAAATATTTGACATCATTGTTGAAAAAGAGTGGCACTCAGCTTGAGTTGCTGTTGCAGGTACCGATGCAACACATGCTGAACACATTGAGACCATAAAGAGTCGCATGTATGTGGGGCTGACGGCTGACCAGAGGTTCCTTCCTGGAGAGCTCGGCATGGGTCTTGTTGAAGGTAACGAAATTAGCATATTAGTGGATGCATGCAAAACTAAATTAGGAACCTTTAAAATAGCATAATAGAGGCAGTTCAATCTCTGTGATTGGTGTGAAATTGAGTGTCGCATTGTTTCAGGGTATAACTCTATGGGGTATGAAATGTCTAAACCAGACCTGAGAGCGGAGCTGGAGGCGGATCTTAAACTTGTGTCAGAGGGCCAGAAGGACAAAGCTTCTGTCCTCAGTTATCATATGGCAAAATACAAGGCTGTATTTATTGAATCCGTGAGGAAAGCAAAGAAGTGAGTCTGAATGTAGCATCACTTATTTCAATTTCAGTTACACTGCAAACTACATTTCTACATACAAATTTGGATTGAGTGTAATTGTTGTCATATTGCGTGCAGATTGGATGAAGCCTTGTCCAATTATCTGGGCCCGGCTCAGGAGATTACCGAAACAGAACAAGGAGAGATGGAGATGCCGTTACCAGTGCGAAAGTGTCCTCAGTGTAACTGTGACATGGTGCTAAAGAGGAAGAAAGACAGCACAGGGTGAGGTTTTGGTTTTCAGGTTGAATCTGAAATGAAAATGTTGTTTGTTTACTCCTTTTCTGATCGTCTTTTTTATATCACTCTGTGCAGGATGCTTCTTTCATGTATGGGATATCCAGCTTGTAAAGCAGCCGTGTGGTTTCCAGACACAGTTCTGGAGGTCAGCAGAGACGAGAGCATCTGTTCAACGTGCCGTCCACATCCGGTCCATATGTAAGGAATGCGGTTCTTTTGCTGCTTTGTAATCATTTTAATATTGCAGAGCAGTTACACTACCTTCAAAAGTTTTAAGTCAGTAAAAAAAAAAAAAAAAATACGTATCAATACATAAGATAAACACATTTACTATAATACTTAGATTACTTTTATTAAGCAAGATCAGATTAAACTGATAAAAAATGACAGTTAAGACATGTATAATTTTACAAAAGATTTTTATTTCAAATAAATGCAGTTCTTTTGAACTTTCTATTCCTCAAAGAATCCTGAACAAAATGTATCATGGTTTTCACAAATATATTAAGCTGCATAACTGTTTTAAACATTGATAATAATCAGAACTGTTTCTTGAGCAGCAAATCAGCTTCTTAGAATGATTTCTGGAGGATCATGTGACATTGAAGACTGGAGTAATGATGCTGAAAATTCAACTTTGCATCACAGGAATAAATTACATTTAAAATATATTCAAGTAGAAAACAGTTATTTTAAATTGTAATATTATTTCACAATATTACTGTTTTTACTAGATTTTTGGTCAAATAAATGCAGCCTTGTTGAGCAAATTTTTACTGACCCTTAAAGTTTTGCACAGTAGTGTATTTTTGGTAAAAGTTTTACAAGAAGGTTTCATATGTTAACTTTATTTCATGCGATAGCTTATATGAAATACTGAGTAATACTTTTACAGTATTTAATTAATATTAATTTATATCTGTAATAATACATTTAAAACATGTCAAGTTGTGTATATTAACAGTTTTTAACAATTTCTGTGAACAGACATGAATTGACAACAAACAGTATATTTATAAATGAACATTAACCTTCATTAATAAATGCTGTAAAAATTGTTGTTACTTGTTTGTTCACGATTCATATGGCATTAACTAATCTTAAGAAAATGAACCTTATTTTAAGGTGTTACTCTTTGTGTGTGTGGAAATTTGTGCTAATAAACAATGGACAATATGACCAGTACCATGTATTAAGAACGTTAATAATGTTTCTTTTTTAATACTGACTCTTGTTTTATTCATAACATCTTTGACAGGCTCAAGTTTAAATTCAAGAGAGGAAGTTTGCCACCTATGATGCCCCTTGAATTTGTTGGCTGCATTGGAGGATGTGATGAGACTCTCAGAGAGGTCTTGAACTTAAAATATCTCAGAGGAGGAGGAGAAGGAGATTCTGGCTCTCGGCCTTATAACAGCTCTGGGTCAAATCAGGATCATGTACCTCGAACCAACTCAGCACCTCCGTCCAGGGTGGAGAACGTGAGACCTCCTGCACCCAGACCCCGAGCCGACAGCAACCGTCCCCCAGCCAGTCTGCCACCTCCTCGGGCAGCACTACCACCAGCTTCAGCCCAGGGTGGTGCCATTGTGTGTAACTGTGGTCAGGATGCCATTCTTCTCACTGTACGCAAAGAGGGTCCCAACCAAGGCCGTCAGTTTTACAAGTGTAACACAGGGGATTGTAAATTCTTCCTGTGGGCTGACCAGCCGACTGAGCAGGGAGCGCCCGAAGGAAACAGAGGACCCCTGAGTCCGAATTTTCAACCTTCCAGGCCCTCAAATGGGTTTGGGAACATGCCTCAGCAGAGGCAAAACAACAGAGGATCTGGAGGTGATGAAGGTGAAACCATGTGTAACTGTAATGAGCCTGCAGTTACCAGGACTGTCATGAAAGATGGGCCAAACAAGGGCCGAATGTTCCACACCTGTGGGAAACCACGTGATCAGCAGTGTGGGTTCTTCCTGTGGGCCAATGAAAATGTGGCTCCAGGTATAACACCAGTCTATCATGCTTTTAAACGGAAAATACTGTATATACGTAGGCAAAATATAATTGGAATATCTTGAACAAGATCATTCTTACATAGATTGCCATTCGAAAGTTTGGGATCAATGTGATAAAAAAAAAAAAAGGAAATTAATATTTTTATTCTGCAAAGACAATTGATCAAAAGTAGCAGTTACTGTTTTATTTCAACATTTCTATTTCAAATAAATTCTGTTCTTTTGAGCTTTATCCATAAAAAAAGTCCGGAAAATAAAAATGTATGACAGTTTCCACAATAATGTTAAGCAGCACAACTGTTTTCAACATTGATAATGATAATAAGAAGAACTGTTCCTTGAGCAGCAAATTATCAAAGATTTCTAATGTGACACTGAAGACTGGAGTAATGATGCTGAAAATTCAGCTTTGCATCACAGGAATAAATTACATGTTAAAATAGATTCTAATAGAAAACAGTTATTTTAAATTGTAATATTTCACAATATTACTGTTTTAACTATTTTTGGTCAAATAAATGTAGCTTTGGTGAGCATAAGAGACTTTCAAAAACATTAAACAATCTTACCAAGCCCAAACTTTTGAACAGTATTTTACTTAAACATCCCGGCAAACTCCTAATTTAGGCATTTTGTCATTTGCTTGGTTTCTCTCTCTCGGGTTGCCTTTGATTGTTTTGTATTGTGCTACATTTCATTTTGGAATAATTTCTTCAATATTGTCTTTTGTTGTTCATAATTAATTTACCTTTACCTTTCCTCTCACTTTTTCAGCCACAGGTTTTTCTGGAGGAAATGTTGGTAAACATCCTGGGAACAAAAAGGCCAGCACTGCCTCAAACAAGCCTCCCACAGCCAAAAGACCAAGAACCTGTGGAATATGTCATGAGCCGGGTCATACCCGGGCCACCTGTCCTCAGGGCCAGTAAAAAATAGTTCCTGCAATTTTTGTAAAATACAAAATACACATGTAAATGAAATTAATGTTGTCTGATGTATAATTAATGTTTTTTTATGTATACATAATACATTGTATTGTGTAAAATAAAGTTGTTTTAAAGTAAAACATTATTTTTTGTGCATAGTCATGTATTTTTAATGAATAAAATGTTTACATGACCTACAATATTGTTACACAATAATTTATATTTTTTATATTTATATATATTTTCATATATAAAGGGCAAATTTATACTAAAAAATATCATACTATTCATTTTCTACATTGTTACATTTAAAAAAAAAACTTAGGCTACTATTTCTGTACTGTTAGATGTATTTCATGCTCATTTTAATATTTTTTTATTATATAGTTATTTAAATAAAGTGTTATTAATCATGGTTTTATTCATTTAAATCTTTTTTTTAATTTTATTCAAATGCATTAATTAATTAATTTTTTCACTGTTTTTCTTTAACCTTTTCCACTGACCCCCAAGCACTCGGGGTGCAGGTAGGGGCGCCGCCAGTAATTTTTGGCCCTATGAAAGAATAGGAGGTTGGGCCCCCTACCGCACCCATTCCATTCATAAAATCGATCTCCGGGGCCCCAAAAGTCAGTGGGCCCTTAGAATAATCCTAACTTTCACCCCACTCCCAGGACCCCGGAGCCCAGTTTGAAAACCACTCTGCCAAATGCATACATGTAATGTAAATGCAGTATGGACTCTGTAGTATAATATACTACTCCAGACCACCAGAAACAATAAAAAAAAATACCACATTGACCTGAACAACTGGGAATGTTGTGATTGGCCCTAGCTGTAATACGAGGGTCCCTATATTTCTCCCACGTCCTGTAAATGGCACTGCAAATGATTCAGAAATGAATCAGTGTGTTGTGAGTCAACATTTAAAAACTGCAAAAAGGTGTAGTTTACCATGCATTTGGCGGGTTTAAGTAACAGGTGATCTTTTATAGAAACATAAATATTTTTTTAAGTGAGTGGCTGGTGACGCTGAGCAGGTCGTGGGCTGTACCATGTGAGCGGGGGGCGGGGGAGCGAGTGTTTGTTCCACCAGCCGCTGCCGAACTGAAATAGGCTGCGACTGCTGCCATATCCTGAATTAGACATGGCCGCGACCGGAGTTCTCCCCTTTATCAGGGGAGTAGACCTGAGTGGGAATGACTTTAAGGTGAGAGTTCTGATTCAATACGTCTATAGGTACGGGATATTGTTAATAAATCATTCACTCAAACGAGGAAAGCGATGTAGGTTAGTTAGCGTGTCAAAACAGGTTAAGATGGTGAGCTAGCAGTGCTAACTGTGCTAGCTTAGAAGAACACTGGGCGTTAGCTCGCGACTTGTCAAAATTTGTTGCGGTCAATCAAGCGGTGTGACAGGGAGGGCAGGGGAAATAACTAGAAGTTTGTTAGCAGTGCAGCTGTGCTGGTTGACAGTAACGTTAATACTTCTGGCCTCAAGAAATGTGCTGCGGTTGACAGTCTTTACATGTCGTTAGGAAATAACGTTAGCTTCTTTTAGACTAGATGGAGCATAACGTTATATCATCAATATGCACATAAAAGAAAGGTTTTGTTATTTAAATAATTTGTAAGTTAAATACAGAAGTCTTTTACATGAGTTCCATTAGCAGTAGAATTACCCAGCCTCTCAAGTGTGTCAGTTTACTTGAGTAAATTTGTGATGATGCTCTGAGTCATTGTCTTATATAAAGCAACTTCAGTCAGATCTGCTCATATCGAGATGATTGTTTGAGCAGCTTACTGTTTTCTATCTCAAAGTGGGGTCTGGGAGCCCCCAGGGGCCTCAAGAGAGTGCTAGGGGGTCTGTGCAACTGTTTAGAGAAAAGTATAAGATAAATAAAAAATAGATTAAAATAAGTAAAGGATTGAATAAAATAAATACATCTTATAATTAGGGGTGCACATGATACCAATATGGGGGCCGATATATTTTATTTTTTTAATGTTATATCGTTATCAGCTCGATAAGTAAATTTGGACGATATATTAAAGCCGATAAATAATGGATTATTTCCTTCAGCTGAGACACTTCAGATGGGCACTGTTAGTCATGATGGTTTTGAAATGCTTGAAATATGATTGGAATCACTTCAAAAAGGAAAATATAGTTAAGTGCAACAGGTGCAGCTCAAGTCTGTCATATAGGATTAGGCTATATAAAATTATATTGAGAACATTATAATTGTGTGCTTGGGACATGGCTTTTAATCGTGAGACTTTTGTTTTTGTAATCAGGCTCTCAAAAAGGATACAACATTTTTGGATTTAGATTTATCGGCCAATATATCGGTTATCTGCTATCAAATATAAAGAATTATCGGTTATCATATCGGCCAACAGTTCTGTGGATCCCTACTAACAATACAGTACTATAAGTAGAAACAATACAATAATTGTAATTTAATGGAAACTAAATATTTTCTAAATAATATTTTGATTATTAAAATGATTTTATTTTGTTAGAATGGGTGTCTCTCGCATAAGGATGATCGTATTTGGGGCTCTGTGGTGTCTAAAAAATTGATAAACCTGGTTCTGGCTCATGCTTATGTTGTTGCCATAGCAACCTTTTTTTCTGTCCTGAAATGACTTCATTGTACCAGGTTTATTTTGTTTTAGATAAAATTTCTAGCATTAGACTGATTTATTTGGGAAATGACATCAGTGTAGCAGATCCATCAAAAACCACCAAATCATTAATGCAGAAACTGACTTGTATGATGGTCTGATTTAAGACTTTGTATCTCTTGTTTTGAACACAGGGGGGTTATTTTCCTGAGCATGTCAAGTCTATGAGTAGCTTGCGATGGCTGAAGCTGAACAGAACGGGGCTTTGCTATCTTCCAGAAGAACTGGCCTCCCTACAGAAACTGGTGATTGTGTATTGCACATCTGAGTCACAATTTCATATTTTGCAACTAGGCTTTGTCAACTTACTAATATTCATTCTCGGGTCTATTTTCTTTTTCTTTTTTTTTTGCCCTTTTTTGTGAAATCAGGAACATTTGTCCGTGAGTCACAACAGCCTCACAACACTGCATGGAGAATTGTCAAGTCTTCCCAACTTGAGGGTAAATATGATCGACCATATTGCGAAATACTTGACATGTTCTCTACTAGTGTTTCACATAAGTATAAATATTTGTGTAACTGTTTACACTACTGTTCAAAAGTTTGGTGTCAGATTGTTTTTTGAAAGAAATGACTACTTTTATTCAGCAAGGATGCATTAACTTAAAGGTATTTATGTCACAAATTTCTATTTCATGTAAATACTGTTCTTTTAAACTTTCTATTCATCAAAGAATTCTGAAAAAAAAAACGATCACAGTTTCCAAATATTAATCGGCACAAATGTTTTTAACACTGATAATAGTAATAAATATTTCATGAGAATCAAGTCATATTAGACTGATTTCTGAAGGATCATGTGACACTGGAGTAATGATGCTGAAAATTCAGCTTTACCATCACAGGGATAAATCATGTTTTAAAATGTATTCAAATAGAAAAGTTCTTTTGAACTGTAATACAATTTCACAGTATTACTGTTTTACTGTGTTTTGGTTAAATAAATGCTGCCTTGGTGAGCACGTTCTTTCAAAAATGTCTAAAGAAATCTTTACTGACTCACAAACTTTTGAAGGGTAGTCTATGTACTTAAAATTGCTTTTGTCAATAAACACAGCATGAATTTCAATTTTACTGTAAATATTGACAATCGTTGACTATCGTTTAATCTGCTCTTGTTGTTTTGCTGTAGGCGGTTGTGGCCAGAGGAAACAGCCTAAAGAACTCTGGTGTTCCTGATGATATTTTTCAGCTGGATGATCTTTCTGTGCTGGTATGTAGAGAATTACTTCTACGTGTTTATTTCTCAGTTAAGTGCAAAATGACAGGCATGATTTAAATTTACGTAAGCAGGGCTGTGTTTTGATTAGTGAAACTATGCAAATTTGTCATCGTTTGTGTGCTGCAATGATGGTGTGTGTATGTATTGTTCCCTCCTCTATTCAGGATCTGAGCTACAACCAACTCTCTGAAATCCCTCGGGACTTGGAGAACTCCAGAAACATGTTGGTCTTAAACCTCAGTCACAATAGGTACGGTCTGGGTCTGTCTGTTTTGTACCCAAGTTCTTGGAAGTGAAGAATAAATGCACTTTAAACATTTTAGGATTTTATATTGTGATCTGTTTCCGTGGTATTTTGGAAGTCTGGAAGATGTCTTGTGTGATGATTTGGGGATGTACAAGGGTTAGTTCACCCAAATATGAAAATTATCCAATCTTATAAGCCAGTGACCATAGTTTATAAAGTTATAAGTACAAATACATCGCTTTGCTTCAGAAGACCTTTATTAACCCTCTGCAACCGTATGGATTACTTTTATGATGGATGGATGGATGAGCTTTTTTGGGCTTCAAAATCTAAGTTGCTATTCACTCTCATTATAAAGCTTGAAAGAGCCAGGATATTTTTAATATAACTCCAATTGTGTTTGGCTGAAAGAAGAAAGTCATTTACACCTAGGATGGCTTGAGGGTGAGTAAATTATGGGATCATTTTAATTTTTGGGTCAACTAGCACTTTAAGGATGCATTTAGACTAGACTGGACTTGTGCTAGATGTGTTACTGATGGAATGGAAAAGAACACATGGATCTTGGGATATGTTTGTAAAAGTTGAACTATTTTTAGTTTGACTTTGAGCCATGGCCCCTCATTTTCCACAACGATATTTGAATGCCCCATGACTTTTCCAGTTGTTTGTGATTTTAGTGGATAGGGATTTAAAAAATATTTTTTACTCAATTTCTACCCAATAAAATATTTTAGAATTTGGCATGAGTATAAAAATGCTCCTGGAGTAATTCGATTTAATTAATTTACATGACTTTTCTTGAGATAAAATCAAAGTTGTAAAAAATTAGGCTACCTCATATTATATTCATGTTTTTCAAGACC